GAGGTGAGGTGCCCCCCCGCCGCCCCGGGGTTGGGGTGGCCGGGGCTCGGGAGGGCGGAGGTGGGGACTGGGCAGCGGGTTTGCCGCTCGGAGGCGAGGGGATGCGGTGCGATTCCCGGCGGCTCTGCCCGCTGGGAGGCTGCTACCATTGTTAGGCTGGCTGGGAGATCGCGGCTGGCTGGGAGCAGGAGGAGCACGCAGGTTCCAACTTCTCCAGCCAGCAAAAACGGCTTTCTGTGCGCCCGCTGCACCCGGGGTCAGAATAAAGAGAAAGTAGAGAGCGCCGACGGGCTGGCTTTAATGCCAGGTATATACACTGCATGCGCTTGCACCTGGAGCAGCGCATTGCCATGACTCCTTTCATGCTGCATGTGCTCGCAGAATTAAAGTGAACATAGAGTGACATCTAATTGTGACACAGTGGCATTTAATCACATTAAATGCTCTCGTTTGATTTTCCGCCCTTTGCAGCAGTCACGGGTTTAAAAACATTAGCTTGAGAAGATATAACTTGTATTCTTTTCGAAAAAATGATAGAATAAACATAAGGGCAAATAGAAAGTGTTCGTAGCATGGAGGTGAGCAAGGGGCTGCAGTTAGATCTGGTTTATTAAACACTGATGTGCCTCTTCTTTGTATGCTAGAATCAGGATTTTAGGTAAAAGTCCTACATTTTAAACACTGAGACCTTTCTTTTGTTTGTATCTCCAACAACTGAAATACACTACGTTTAACTAGGGTTTCATATGGAAATGAGTTGACTTTTTCTCTTAAATATATGCATGATGAATCTATAAGTAAAGAAAGCTATATGACGCTTGGCATGAATCACAGCTTATTAATATCAAAAGTGGATCTTCTGCTGCAGTCGATTTGTTTATTGGCTGTAATTGTTAACTGATTCCATATGACTGCATTCCTTTTTCTCTTGGCATGCAGATGCTGGGTGTTGCTTGAAGTTGAAAGGTGCGCTTCCCAAAAACTGAAAGATTTCAAGATCTATTTGTGCAGCTAGTCTGTGATGCTTTATATGGAGAATTGTGTTGAAAATTACTAAACTAATTCTGCTTTGTTATCCTTGAATCTGAAATGTTTAATTGACAAAGCTTTGGTAGTTTGCTCGCGTTTGTTCAACTACGTTGTGTCCAAGCATCCTAGATTGTTTGCCAGTGAAATATTAAATCATCTGGGATTCTAGGTGCTTTTTCTGTAGCACCGATGAAAATCACCTACTGGTTTAAATTAGCTGCCTTTCTGGTACCATCAAGCTAGTATATAAGCAAGCACACAAGAAGGCATTCAGTGGAACACTGTCTGAAGTTTCTCTTTCCTTAAATTGTAGCAAAGGTTAATTTTTAGCAAGCATGCAGATGCCATTTTTAAATATGACATACTGACCTGACTACGCTTTAGAAGTGTAGCTGGATAATATATGTGGTTATCTAAAATCTGGTTTTATTGACAAAGCTGAGGAATTGCTGCTTGTCATTTGTGTCGAGATATGTTAACACATAGTGACTATTAACTGCGTATTTGTGAATTCAAGAAGGGGTTGATCGCTACAAAACAGACCAAAAGTGTGATACAGCTTTTAAAAAAAGTCTTCTTGTTGATTATTGTATGCTGTAAGTATGTTCTGTTTTAATCGGGTTCCAGAAAATGTATTATGTTATGCGTTGGATGCTGCCGGTTCCCAAGGCAGACTGGAGTAGTGGGTGGAAGGTGATTTGGGTTACTTGGCTTTTCTTTCCATCCAGCTTTTCCACTGCTGTTTTTCCTTGCAGTCACTTTGCCTCTCTTGTTTTGATTTCTCCAAAGAAAGATAAAAATATTCTACTTTGTACAGAACTTTTGCATATAAAAAGGGTCTTTTGGCACCTGTTTGTTACTGCTCCTGCTGGTGAATATTATACCAGGTATTACCATGTCTTCCTTTATTCCCCAGGTGAAAGAGGAAGTACTTCAAAAGAGTAATTCCTTGAGCGGTAGAAGCCTGGCTTCTTACCCTTTTTTTTTTTAATCTCATGGATGATTGTAAGGTCTAATAGAATTTTTTTTTTCCTGTTTGAAACATTTATAGTCTCATCCTTTTGTGGATCATCTGATGTCTAATAAGGTCTTAATGCATACTGCAGCTTTTCCCTCAGTCAGGACACTCATACCATCTTGATTTCATGAATGTAGCATTTTATTAGACAATTATCTTTGAGTACTCTTCTGTCAAATTTGATTGATTTCAGCCAGCCAGTTTCCAAGCGGGGGACAGCCCCCAGCTGGGGTAAAATATATTGTTTCACAATTTTTCCTTCACAACAGTCTTTTTCCCTATAGTAGGTACTAAAATCTGTTTCTCAGTGCTTTTAATGTATTTTATTCTAGTTTCTTTTCCCTTTACTTGCTCTTTCATAGTTCTCTTTCTACTGCTTTCCATGATGGATGTGCTTTATCTCATACCCTGTGTTTTCTGTTGGTTTTTCTTCCTCATGGAAGATGATGCATATAATCTTGTGTGTTCTATTTTTCCTATATTTTTTTTAACACTCTTAAATTGCTATCAACCCACTTGCATATACACTCACTTCTCATCCACCAAGATCTGTAAGTCTGCAGTTCAGAGGGAAGGGGAAAAAAAAAAAGCCAGATACTTATCAGACAGAGGATTGAACTAAAATATGAGGCTCTATTGTCTGTGGGAAATAACAGTTTGAAAGAAAATGAGGGTTTTTTCCTCTGTTCCTATGCTTTTGGTTGCTGAGAAAAGGTATCATGATGGAAGTCTTATCCGGTTACTA